TTTGGGGATTTGCACAGCTATGGCTATAACGGTAGAACTCGAAGATCATCGACACGAGCCAGAATTCTTTGGAAGCGAGACGCAAAAGACTAATTTCACCCATATTTATTTGCCATACTTATCAGATTCAGGTGCTACAGTGACTTGTATTGGCAGCGACGCGGTGACTGCATTTAATAACCACCCTCAAAAGCTTAACTGTTCAGGGTACATATGAACAGCAAATAATTCAGAGTGTAACGGGACGAATCGTCATGAAGATCAAGTATCGTGAACAGACGAACCTAATAGAGTTCTTCATCACCTTTATCTAAAACAGGATGTTAATTTAGGTACAGATTATTGGATGAAGTTTGGGGTAGTCGACAAAATCACGGATGACTAGGAATCAGTTACAGTATTAAATGTAGGTCACGAAGAGTGTCACGATTCAACCAAGAACAAATCAACCTATTAGCACAGTTCTATTGTACGAGAAAGAAGGCTTAGGGCGTCCCCTTTTGACAGATCCCCATATAGATGTGCAAAAGGGTTATGTTTTCCGTAATCGAGAACACGTTGGCAATGGATGTTAGCGAAGAGTGTAGGAGTCCATGGAGTAGTAAATGAGTTCTTGTTTAGCGAGGAGAAAAAACTCGGCTTTATACCTTCCTTAGGTGTATGGAATCCTTAGGAAGCTGCCTCCGGCTCGCTCTATTACCGGTCTACACATGAAGCACGCCTTCTGGCAGATAGTAGTCGTCTCGCTCGACCTTTTGGTTCTCTCTGAAGACTTCGAGTCGCATAATGCATAATGCAAGTCGGAGCTCAGAGATTTTTCTAAACCTGTCACGACCAAAGAATTTTAACGATTTCTAGGTCTCGCCTGGTGGAATATGTTAGTGGAGAACTACACATGCATAGTTTGAGCTTTAACCTATTTATTGAAGAAGAGCAGAGTTGAAGGCTTCGCCAGTCTTACGTATGTCCGATTTTTCGAGGCAGCTTTTTCTTCTTTGCAACACAAGCAGAAGAAGAACGAACCGAGCTTCCTATCGCTATAGGTCCGAGAAACTCTCGAAAGCCCAGCGAAACTATTCGGTAACTGAATGGAAATCAGGGCGGACTTCATAGTAATTACCGACCATGCTTCGCTGCAGGGGCTAATGAAACAGAAAGACTAGAAGGAACTAGAAGGCTCGGAAGACAGTTATTAATATTATTATTAATAGTGATCCCCTGACCTAGGCAGGGTACGAACGGCGCAGAAGCTTAAGCATTTTTTTGGTCGGATATGTAAGTCCACTAAAGGTGATAACTTTGTATAAAGACCTCACAATGACGTCAGACAGTTTCTTTCAAAAGTAGTATATGGATCTATTAGACCCATATCCGAGGTCTATGGACGGAAATATCGGGATACTGATTATAGGTAGATTATAGATATTCACATCGGACCAAATCGTTTGTACTGCAATTTTGAATTCTTTGGAATGTATGCAACTTAAATCGAAACACTTCAAGGCTTTCCTGACTAGTTTTGGCAACTCACATGTCTGTACTGTAATCTACTCCCCACAGGCTAACGCAGGCTAAACCGTGCGATGCATACATAGGTCAGAACCACACCACGCCACCAAGCTGACAAGAAGCTAAGGCCGTAATATCAGCTAGCCGTGAGACAACTTACAAAGTCGGAGCGAATAGCTAAAGTTGGTAAATCGGTTTTTGCTGAACATTTTGCTTGAAGCAATTCGGTCAAGAAATTCAATAGCAAATTATTTTCTCTCGCCTAGGCCAACAGACGTGTGCCGAAGACCCAGACAAGTTTATTTCTAACAAGTGCAAGCGTTATAAGAGTGTGATGAGACCCAATGAAATTTCGTGAAGTATTGTCCAGAAGTAATTTTGTTGTTATTTCTCAAGAACTGATCGGCTTATTCCCGAAATGCTTTTCAGAATCCGCCCCAATCGATCTTCCACTCGTCGCAGCGTATCATAACTTCGCTGCCAGCCGCTTGCTGGTACCCCGCGCACGTGGCCCAATCTTACTACCCCACGCTGTACGCTGGCCATAACACCGTGGACGATCGCATTCGGCGGTGGCTTTAAGGTCTCTTTAAGGTCAGTTGCCGGCAATTATTTGCCAATATTATTATATCTATTCTTCACCTACAAGAAGGGAATTTTCCTCGACTTGACCATGGAATTCTCATAAGCTGGATATGCGGCATAGTCAACGCACGAACGGTGTTGCCCAATACGACGCGGCTGCTGCACAGCAATCTCAGCGGAGATTGGCGTTGAAAGAAAAAGCCACCACAAAGCTTGTCGGCGGTATCATTTTGTAGTTTTTTGTATACTCTTACAGAGGGTATAATGATTTCAGTCAGAAGTTCGCAACGCAGTAAAAGAGACGTTTCCGACTCATAAATGTTCTTGATTTCTTTTTTTATTCAATGTAAAAAATTATTTAACTTCGGTGTTTTATGACATATTAACTTCTACTCTTTAGGAAATAACACGTTTAATGTTTCATAATTTTGAATAAAATTAAATTCTAAAAAATCTGTCATCAAATAGCTGCGATATCGAATAATTATTGTTAAAATAATACAAAGACCTCTATATTTTTGTTTTATTTATGGTAGTTAATTTTAATGGAAAATTATCTTTACATTTCTGTAATTTGTTTTTAATTTTCCTAAAATCGGAAAGCTTTGTACATACAATGTAGGAAGACCTGCGATGGTATAGAAACTTCGTCTCGTGAAATTATCTTCCATTCTTGTTTTATTGTACTTTCTTACTGTTAAAATAGTAGCTCTAAATTCGCTCAAATAGGTGGAAAGCCTCCTCTATAAGCGGGGAGTGCGTCGAAGTTAATGTTAAACAAGGAAGAATGCTATGGTCGAGTACCTCGACTATCAGATACACGTTACTCAGCTAAAGGGACCAAAGGGAAATGGAGACATGCAAGCAGCAAAGCGAGATTAAAATGCGCCACCTACCGGCGGCAGACAGATTTAAGCGTTAGGGGCGTTAGAGTGGGCGTGGCAATTTTTTTGGATCAATCGATAGGTATTGATGACAACAATACATTTCAGTTGAAATTTTTATTCTAGCATCAAAACTGTAGGAGCCACAGTTTTGGGCGGCTTGTGTGCGTAAGAGTGGGCGTGGAACATTGCTGAAACAAACTTGCGCTGCGTATGAAGCTCAGGAATCTGCACGCCAAATCTTAATATTCTAGCTCTTATAGTTTCCGAGATCACAGCGTTCATCTGGACAGACGGACAGACGGACATGGCTAGATCGACTCGGCTAGTGATCCCGATCAAGAATATATATACCTTATGGGGTCGGAAACGCTTCCCTCTGCCTGTTGCATACTTTCCGACGAATCTAGTATACCCTTTTAGTCTACGAGTAACGGGTATAAACATCACATATACACGTTTATACGACATGTCTTAATCTATCCTCAAGGAATCAACGACAGCTTCATTGGGCCCAACGAATGCTACGATGGATTTTCCTGTATGAGTGTATGTTGTGTGTTAAATCTTACACTGAATCAAATTAAATTTTAGTGAATATGTTTATAACTCAGGGACCGTCGGTGCAGTTCCCTTGTTAGCTACACCTCTTGTAAAATATAATATACTTATACGAACACCTAATATAGTTAACCTCAATAGTGGCCACTTAGTATTTGAAACGCTATAGTCGAGCACCTCAACTATCAGATACCCGTTACTCAGCTAAAGAGACCAAAGGGAAATATAGACATGCAAGCAGTAGAGCGAGATTGAAAGCGCCACCTATGGACGTTAGAGTGGGCGTGGCAAACTTTTTTTGCTTCGGTCAGAACAAGATGCTTAACGGTAAAGATTACGACCTTCTTCGTAAGCCGGATTTATCGGAAGATGATGTGGCGTTAAAATAACCTCAATTTCTTCAATCGAACTTTTTTTGGCGTCAATCGATAGGTATTGATGAGACTAATACATTTCAGTTAAAATTTTTTATCCAGCATACAAATTATGGGCACCACAGATTTCGGCGGCTTGTGGGCGTTAAAGAGGGCGTGGCATCTTCGCGTAACAAACTTGCACTGCGTACTAGACTACAAAATCTAAATCTGAAATCCCAGTTCCTTGTCTTCTATAGTTTCTGAGATATCCGCGTTCATATTTACGATTTGCTGAAGTTTGTGGATGGATTGTGGGCGTAAGAGTTGGCGTGGCACATTGCTGAAACAAACTTCCGATGCGTAAGAAGCTCAGGAATCTGCATGCCAAATCTCAATTTATAAAATTTACATGATCATATACTACTCGGAACACGAAAGTTTAGTATAGTGAAAAGTGCCACTAGTTTTATTTTAAAATAGGACTTTACAGTTTGAGAAGTTGACTTGGCGGGTGAATGTACTGTCGAATTGGCACGGCTGGCACTGCAGAATGTGTTGACTGCTTTGCGGGTGAAGGTACTGTAGAGTCGAGTCATGCGTTGACACTAAATATAAAATGCTGATCAGAACTTCTCAACTGCAGTGGGTGCAACTGGGCGCCTGGTACTATTTCCAACTTGGCTATTGCGTAATTTGTTGGGTGCCGGTTTTGTTAGCTAACATTGGTTCAGAAAATCATAGTAGTAAAGACTTAGAAGCTATATTCTTAGAAATATAACAAGCCGTTAAAGGCAGTAGACTTTCGAACAGTGGCACCGTGCAAGCATTATTGGAGTGTCTTCAGAAATCTCACTCATGACCAACTTGTAAGACATAATGTGACCACCACCGCCACCATCTCCGAGTAACAAATTACAAGCAGATATCTCAGCCGCAGAGCAAATTCATAACTCTGGCGATCAACAGTTCACTAGGGCAGGAGAGAAAGGGGTTGCGGAAACGGTCAACGAAAAGAGATTACTAGTGTGGTACGTTCTGACCTCCGTCCAGGGGAACAGTACAAAATAAAATTCCTAGACCAGGTCCATGGGAAATATAGACTTACCAGTACAGGCGAACAAACGAACGTCTAATTCATATGGAGCTAAAGGGAACGGTAACCGTCACCAGGTTAGCGGTGTAAGCAACAGGTCGAACGTTGCAGTCCACCAGGTTAAAGTTCCAGTATCCAGAGCGGGCGGATCTGGTTTGAAGCCGCTCGAGATGGTCTACAGACCTGAAAATTCCTCTATCGAATTTTGTCTTAAGCGCTTCCGAATCTGAACGCAGATCAGAACATTTTAAGTAATCATCTGGCCACTGAATGATATTGGAAGTTTCATAGGGCGAATTCCAACTTCACCCGGTCAAAGTTTTGCGAAGAGTTTCTTGAGAAATTTGACGACATTGACACGGACATGGTTATCTGGGAATTGATTAATAGTATATAATTTAGCTAAAGGGACCAAAGGGAGATGGAGATATGCGAGCAGCAAAGCGAGATTGGACCACCTACCCTACTCAATATATGGTTATGTGGGCGGAAGAAAGATTTAAGCGTTATGGGCGTTAGAGTGGGCGAGACAAACTTTTTTTTGAGTCAATCGATAGGTATTGTCGAGACTAGTATATAAATGCTAAACCTTTGTTTCTAGCATGAAAATTGTGGGTGCCACAGGCCTTGGCGGTTTGTGGGCATTAGGGTGGGCGCGGCAAACTTTTTTGGATCAATCGATAGGTTTGACGAGACTAACACATTTCTGTTAATTTTTTGCTAGCATGAAAATTGTGGGCGCCACTGGTTTGGGCGGTTAGTGGGCGTTAGTGTTTGCTTGGCATATTCGCGTAACAAATTTGCGCTGCGTACAAGGCAACGGAATCTAAATCGGAAATCTTAATTCTCTAAATTTGATAGTTTCCGAGATATCAGCGTTCATTTTTTGAAGATTGTGGGCACGTTTGTGGTAGTGGCAAACTTTTTTAGGTCAATCGGTAGGTATTGATGAGAAAAATACATTTCAGTTAAAATTTGTATTCTAGCAACAAAACTGTAGAGGCCACAGTTTTGTGCGGCTTGTGGGCCTTAGAGTGGGCGTGCGCTGCGCGAAGAGCTCAGGAATCTACATGCCAAATTGCAACTTTCTAGCTTTTGTAGTTTTCGAGATCTCAGCGTTCATACGGACGGACAGACAGACGGACATGGCTAGATCGGTACGGCTAGTGATCCGGATCAAGAATATATGTATTTTAAGGGGTCTAGTATACTCTTTTACTCTACGAGTAGCGGGTATAAAAATGCACTGGCCAATATTATAATATATACATAATATGTTGGAATCGCAAAGTAATAATAATTATCATTATAGAGCGTATTTGAAAACAGTTTTAAGCTATGGGAGTTATGCCACCGATTTTTTTTCAAACTTTGGAAGAATAATAGCAAGGAAATATGTTTAGCCGGACACGAATTAAACCATTTGCATTATTTGATCTCATATCAAATTATTAATAGTTGTTGAACCCGGATAAATAATTAAATTGGTCTTAGTGGCCATCGGCCAGGGCAAGAACTTTATTCATTGACTTTCAAAGTTAGAGTGTCCTACAACCAGCTATTCGCGGCAGCGCTGCCTGCAAGCATTGGCAGCGGCCGCCATGTCTATATCAATGTAACTTATATGCTTACAAATGTATTTGGCTGATAGCAGCAAGAACGCGAGAGAAGTTGTACATGCATGGGTTGTATGTGACTGCACTCAGGGCATGAGAATATGCTGACACTAGCACTTCCCATAAGTTGGGCTCTGAGGCGCGATTATATTTCGGTTGGCCGCACGAGTCTAACGACCGGGTCAGCCAGCCTATATTGCAATGCAACCATTACAATTTTAGTCAGAGAGTAAATACTATAAGCGGGCAGGGCAATTTTTCCGACAGTTTGAAGTGTAGACTGAAAATGGAACTAATGACGATCACCGCCGATACCGTGATTAGTGTACCTCATCACTAAAAAAAAGTTTTGTATCAATGGAAAGCATTTCTTTCCAATGGTATATTTTCACTACTGTAAAAATAAACTGCACATTTTTAATTAAACTTTCAACACGATTGCTTGTGGATAGGGGTGAGACTTGGGCTCGTGTGTATCCCCGTGCACTTTCTCCTGCTGATTCTCAGTAAATAATATTTTGAAATGCTATAAAAGGATTCCGTCGGATACTACATTTAAAACCGTCAAAAAAAGTTGCCCTGCCCGCTTATAATAGCTACTAATGTTCCATTTTAATTTACCGTATATGTTTACCGAAAACGAAACGTAACGGTATTTGTATTATTTTGTCATTAATTTCCCGATCCTTTATATGACATCTATATGATATAATAGTCCAGTTCTTGTTAAATTGAATTCGAAAATCTAAATATTACAAAAATGTTATTTACCGGAGTAGAAGAGAATATGGTCAAAAATGGTTTTCTATTATTTTTCCATTACTTATCCGATCGTTTCTATGGCAGATATTGTTAACATTTTCCTTCTACATTTCTAAATTAGTAAAATTAATATATATCCACAAGTAAAAGTGAATATCTCAAAAACACCCTATTATACCCGTTACTCGTAGAGTAAAAGGGTACACTAGATTCGTCGAAAAGTATGTAACAGATAGAAGGAAGCGTTTCCGACCCCATAAAGTATATATAATCTTGATCAAAATCACTACCCGAGTCGATCTAGCCATGTCCGTCTATCCGTCCGGATGAACGCTGAGATCTCGGAAACTAAAAGACCTAGGCTATTGGAAATTGGCATGCAGATTCCTGAGCTTTTAAGGCAGCGCAAGTTTGCTCCAGCACGGTGCCACGGCCACTCTAACGCCCACAAACCGCCCAAAACTGTGGCTCGTACAGTTTTGGTGTTAGAATAAAATTTTAACTGACATGTATTGCCCTCATCAATACCTATCGACTGACCCAAAAGAATGCCCACAAACCGCCCACAAACTTCAAAAATTCGTAAGTATGAACGCGGATATCTCGGAAACTATCAAAGATAGCGAAGCAAGTTTGTCACGCGAATATGCCACACCCACAAACCGCCAAAACTTATGGCGCCCACAATTTTTATGCTAGAAAAAAATTTTAACTGGAATTAGTCTCGTCAATACCTTTCGATTGATCCAACAAAAAGTTTGGCACGCCAAACCTTAAATCCCACAAACCGCCAAAGCCTGTGGCGCCCACAATTTTCTTGCTATAAAAAAATTTGAACTGAAATGTATTAGTCTCGTCAATACCTATCGATTGATCCAAAAAAAAGTTTGGCACGCCCAACCTTAACGCCCACAAACCGCCAAAGCCTGTGGCGCCCAAAATGTTCATGCTGCAAAGAAATTGTAACTGAAATGTATTAATCTCGTCAATACCTATCGATTGACCCAAAAAAAAGTTTGCCACACCCGCTCTAACGCCCATAACGGTTTAAGCAGTCTACCGTCACATAACCACATATTGAAATCGCGAGTAGGTGGCGCCTTTCAATCTCGCTTTGCTGCGTGTGTATCTCCATTTCCATTTGGTCCCTTAAGCTGAGTAATGGGTATCTGATAGTCGAGGTACTAGACTGTAGCGTTCTTCCTTCCTTACTATGTAATAAGGTTCTCAATAGCGCAATGCTACATGCTTACATGCAAAGTTATTGCTCTATATATGATTTTGTGGAGTAGGCAGATTGCTAATATTTTGGCATACTGACGGTCTGGATGCAAAATGTATTGGCGGAAAGTGCTGTGATATATAGTTCTATGTTTTACTATTGTTAATGCGAAAATAATTGTATTATGTTGGTATATGGGCCTAAATTTACTTGGGAAGAAATAATCCACAGTGACTGAGCGCACCAAGTATACTCCCCGTACTTTATACAGTGGCTGAATTGAAAATCTGTTATAATAGTCCAACCGTAATGGGTATTACACCAATCTATAGCGTTCTTCCTTCCTTACTATTTTATAAGGTTCTCAATAGCGCAAAAAGTGCTACATGGTTACTTGCAAAGTTATTGCTCTATATATGATTTTGTGGAGTCGGCAGAATGCTAATGTTTTGGCGTACTGACGGTCTGGATCCAAAATGTGTTGGCGGAAAGTGCTGTGATATATAGTTCTATGTTTTACTATTGTTAATGCGATAATAATTGTATTATGTTGGTATATGGGCCTAAATATACTTGGGAAGAAATTATATACAGTGACTGAGCACACTCAGGTGCACAGTCCCCGTATTTTATTATTATTATTATTTATTAATTGAAAATCTGTCATAAAAGTCCAACCGTAATGAGTGATACACCAATCGGTTTCTAAATGAATACATAATGTAGTGTAGTTCACGTACAATTTAAGGGACCGATTTATTATTTGACTTTAAATGTGCTTCAGTTATAAACATTTCATTAACATAGGTACTTTTAGGCTTATTACTTTGTAGTAAAGTCTGGCCAATAATTTATATAGTATTTTTGTGTTCTCCCATCAAACAATCTTTCAAGCCAATAGTCCAGGCTATTAAGTAAATTATCCTCCAAAAGAATATTTGAGTCTGTATCAGATTCTTCAGAGTATCCTCCTTCAAGGAACGTCCCGACCTCAGGATCCTCCTTTGTGTTCATTAGTATTTTTGTTATTTTAAGTATTCTCTGAAATTGAAAAGAGTTACCATAGATTACAAATCGTTCATCTTTATGCGTAAATATTAGAAAATATATACTAAGGACCATAGAAACCTTGTTCAACTTAATCTGTGCGGACTGCTCGACAGTAAAATTTAGATCAAATGGTTCGATTAGAATAATTTTTGGCATGTAGATTGGTATTGATAATAAGAACAACAATTCATTTAAGTTTTAACAATATTTTTGAGAAAGGTTATGGGATTAAAGAGGGCGTGGCGCACTTCTGAATCAAACTTGCGCTGCGCAGGAAGCCCAAGAATCTACATGGCAAGTCCCAATATTCTAGCTCTTATAGTTTCCGAGATCACAACGTTCATATCAGCGGACGGACAGACGGAAATGTTTAGATCGACTCGGCTAGTGATTCTGATCAAGAATTTATATACTTTACTTTATTTATATACATACTTTCCGACTAATCTAGTATACCCTTTTACTAAGTGTTCTCGTTACTCCGTTGCGTTTTAGTCCCTTTTCCCAATCGCCTTGTCACCTTGACCAGTTCCCATTTTTTTCTCGTTAGCGAATCTTCGTTATCCAAATGACTTAAACGAAAATTTTATTGATGGAGACATTTCTGAGGAAAGCCGTGTACTGCTTATAGGGTAAGTGCTAGAGTTGAGGGGAGTCCATAGTCCAGTAACTTCAGTTATGGGAAAACCACAACCAATCGAATCAAGGAAATTAATATGCCCAAAAGCAGAATGTTGTAATGGTGACGATCCAAATTTAATATTATGAATTAAAAGAACAGTTCAGACATATTGGTATTTGTGTCTAACCGAAGTAGACACTTCTGGGTCACGCCGCGGCACAAGGGGGTAGTGAGCGCTTGAGATAGTGTAGTATTCCGTGCCGTATTCCCGGAGGTAGGAAGTTATAACTTGGCGTGTGAACGTACTGTCGAGTTTGCGTAATTGGCACGGCTGGCACTGCAGAATGTGTTGACCGCTTGGCGGGTGAATTCATATGTTTGCATACTTGGCGGGTGAAGGTACCGCAGAGTCGAGTCATGCGTTGACACAAAATATAAAATGCTGATCAGAACTTCTCAACTGCAGTGGGTGCAACTGGGCGCCTGGTACTATTTCCAACTTGGCTATTGCGTGATTTGTTGGGTGCCGGTTTTGTTAGGTAACATTGGTTCAGAAAACCATAGTAGTAAAGACTTAGAAGCTATATTCTTAGAAATATAACAAGCCGTTAAAGGCAGTAGACTTTCGAGCAGTAGCACAGTGCAAGCATTATCGGAGTGTCTTCAGAAATCTTACTCATGACCAACTTGTAAGACATAGTGTGACCACCACCGCCACCATCTCCGAGTAACAAATTACAAGCAGATATCTCAGCCGCAGAGCAAATTCAAAACTCTGACGATCAACAGTTCACTAGGCCCGCAGGCACTAGGGGAGAAAGGGGTTGCGGAAACGGTCAACGAAAAGAGATTACTAGTGTGGTACGTTCTGACCTCCATCCTTTTAACACAGTTAGCAACAATGCAGCTGGGGAACAGTACAAAATCAAATTCCTAGACCAGGGAAATTCCATGGGAAATATAGATTTACCAGCACAGGCGAACAAACGAACGTCTAATTCGTATGGAGCTAAGGGGAACGATAACGTTGCAGTCCACCAGGTTAAAGTTCCAGTATCCAGAGCGGGCGGATCTGGTTTGAAGCCGCTCAAGATGGTCTTCAGACCGGAAAATTCCTCTATCGAATTTCGTCTTAAGGGCTAACGAATCTGAACGCAGATCAGAACATTTTAAGTGATCATCCGGCCACTGAATGGTATTGGAAGTTTCATAGCAGCAAATACCTGTTTTTCGCTGTTACAAGAGGAGTAATGAATAATTTTTATAAACAAGTAAAAATGCAGTAGTCTTGGGTCTAGACCATTCGTATCCCAGTTAGATTAAGAGGTGAAGGAGATGCAGACCGATAAGGTCGCCGCAACACATTGGAAGCCACGTTAATGCTGGAATAGTGACGGTCCAGGTCTCCGACACAAGGAATGTCTTTAGAACCAGCGTCACATCTTTTGTTATAGATGCTGTGCCATGAGTGTTTTTAGGGCAAGGTGTCAAACTTGTAGTCTGGAAATACGGCTGTCCGAACCCAGCGTACACCCTGCTGCTGCCGCATCCAAAACAGTAGGGGTACATCGCGCGACCCAAACTGAGTCGGAAAGCACTACCGAACACTTGCCATTCTAGGACCGACTTGCTCGATACACGTAAGCGAGGAAATCGTATATTTGGGGCTATGGTTATAACGGTAGAACTCGAAGATCATCAACACGAGCCAGAATTCTTTGAAAGCGAGTTAGCGGCAGACGCAAAAGACTAATTTCACCCATATTTATTTGCCATACTTATCAGATTCAGGTGCTACAGTGACTTGTATTGGCAGCGACGCTGCGACTGCATTTAATAATCACCCTCAAAAGCTTAGCTGTTCAGGGTACATATGAACAGCAAATAATTCAGAGTGTTACAGGACGAATCGTCATGAAGATAAAGTATCGTGAACAGACGAACCTACTAGAGTTCTTCATCACCTTTATCTAAAACAGGATGTTTATTTAGGTACAGATTATTGGATGAATTTTGGGGTAGTCGACAAAATCACGGATGACTAGGAATCAGTTACAGTATTAAATGTAGGTCACGAAGAGTGTCACGATTCAACCAAGAACCAATCAACCTATTAGCACAATTCAATTGTACGAGAAAGAAGGCTTAGGGCGTCCCCTTTTGATAGATCCCCATATAGATGTGCAATTCTTCTCCGGTTTCGCCGGAGAAAGAAAGTGTTATGTTTTCCGTAATCGAGTTGGCAATGGATGTTAGCGAAGAGTGTAGGAGTCCATGGAGTAGTAAATGAGTTCTTGTTTAGCGAGGAGAAAAAACTCGGCTTTATACCTTCCTTAGGTGTATGGAATCCTTATGAGGCTGCCTCCGGCTCGCTCTTTTACCGGTCTACACATGAAGCACGCCTTCTGGCAGATAGTAGTCGTCTCGCTCGACCTTTTGGTTCTCTCTGAAGACTTCGAGTCGCATAATGCATAATGCAAGTCGGCGCTCAGAGATTTTTCTAAACCTGTCACGACCAAAGAATTTTAACGATTTCTAGCTCTCGCCTGGTGGAATATGTTAGTGGAGAACTACACATGCATAGTTTGAGCTTTAACCTATTTATTGAAGAAGAGCAGAGTTGAAGGCTTTTAACCAGTTAAAAGGCAGTCTAACGTCTTCGCCAGTCTTACGTATGTCCGATTTCTCGAGGCAGCTTTTTCTTCTTTGCGACGCCGGTCTGCACGGCATCGTCTGTGTGTTAACACAAGCAGAAGAAGAACGAACCGAGCTTCCTATCGCTTATAGGTCCGAGAAACTCTCGAAAGCCCAGCGAAACTATTCGGTAACTGAATGGAAATCAGGGCGGACTTCATAGTAATTACCGACCATGCTTCGCTGCAGGGGCTAATGAAACAGATGCAACTTAAATCGAAACACTTCAAGGCTTTCCTGACTAGTTTTGGCAACTCACATGTCTGTACTGTAATCTACTCCCCACAGGCTAACGCAGGCTAAACCGTGCGATGCATACATAGGTCAGAACCACACCACGCCACCAAGCTTGACAAGAAGCTAAGGCCGTAATATCAGCTAGCCGTGAGACAACTTACAAAGTCGGAGCGAATAGCTGAAAGTTGGTAAATCGGTTTTTGCTGAACATTTTGCTTGAAGCAATTCGGTCAAGAAATTCAATAGCAAATTATTTTCTCTCGCCTAGGCCAACAGACGTGTGCCGAAGACCCAGACAAGTTTATTTCTAACAAGTGCAAGCGTTATAAGAGTGTGACGAGACCCAATGAAATTTCGTGAAGTATTGTCCAGAAGTAATTTTGTTGTTATTTCTCAAGAACTGATCGGCTTATTCCCGAAATGCTTTTCAGAATCCGCCCCCAATCGATCTTCCACTCGTCGCAGCGTATCATAACTTCGCTGCCAGCCGCTTGCTGGTACCCCGCGCACGTGGCCCAATCTTACTACCCCACGCTGTACGCTGGCCATAACACCGTGGAACGATCGCATTCGGCGGTGGCTTTAAGGTCTCTTTAAGGTCAGTTGCCGGCAATTATTTGCCAATAATATTATATTCTATTCTTCACCTACAAGAAGGGAATTTTCCTCGACTTGACCATGGAATTCTCATAAGCTGGATATGCGGCCTAGTCAACGCACGAACGGTGTTGCCCAATACGACGCGGCTGCTGCACAGCAATCTCAGCGGAGATTGGCGTTGAAAGAAAAAGCCACCACAAAGCTTGGTCGGCGGTATCAATTTGTAGTTTTTTGTATACTCTTACAGAGACGTTTCCGACTCATAAATGTTCTTGATTTCTTTTTTTATTCAATGTAAAAAATTATTTAACTTCGGTGTTTTATGACATATTAACTTCTACTCTTTAGGAATAACACAAATTTCGAATAAAATTAAATTCTAAAAAATCTGTCATCAAATAGCTGCGATATCGAATAATTATTGTCAAAATAATACAAAGACCTCTATATTTTTGTTTTATTTATGGTAGTTAATTTTAATGGAAAATTATCTTTACATTTCTGTAATTTGTTTTTAATTTTCCTAAAATCGGAAAGCTTTGTACATACAATGTAGAAAGACCTGCGATGGTATAGAAACTTCGTCTCGTGAAATTATCTTCCATTCTTGTTTTATTGTACTTTCTTACTGTTAAAATAGTAGCTCTAAATTCGCTCAAATAGGTGGAAAGCCTCCTCTATAAGCGGGGAGTGCGTCGAAGTTAATGTTAAACAAGGAAGAATGCTATGGTCGAGTACCTCGACTATCAGATACACGTTACTCAGCTAAAGGGACCAAAGGGAAATGGAGATATGCAAGCAGCAAAGCGAGATTAAAATGCGACACCTACCGGCGGCAGACAGATTTAAGCGTTAGAGTGGGCGTGGCAATTTTTTTGGATCAATCGATAGGTATTGATGACAACAATACATTTCAGTTGAAATTTTTATTCTAGCATCAAAACTGTAGGAGCCACAGTTTTGGGCGGCTTGTGTGCGTAAGAGTGGGCGTGGAACATTGCTGAAACAAACTTGCGCTGCGTATGAAGCTCAGGAATCTGCACGCCAAATCTCAATAGTCTAGCTCTTATAGTTTCCGAGATCACAGCGTTCATCTGGACAGGCGGCTAGATCGACTCGGCTAGTGATCCCGATCAAGAATATATATACCTTATGGGGTCGGAAACGCTTCCCTCTGCCTGTTGCATACTTTCCGACGAATCTAGTATACCCTTTTAGTCTACGAGTAACGGGTATAAACATCACATAAACACGTTTATACGACATGTCTTAATCTATCCTCAAGGAATCAACGACAGCTTCATTGGGCCCAACGAATGCTACGATGGATTTTCTTGTATGAGTGTATGTTGTGTGTTAAATCTTACACTGAATCAAATTAAATTTTAGTGAATATGTTTATAACTCAGGGATCGTCGGTGCAGTTCCCTTGTTAGCTACACCTCTTGTAAAATATAATAGACTTATACGAACACCTAATATAGTTAACCTCAATAGTGGCCACTTAGTATTTGAAACGCTATAGTCGAGTACCTCAACTATCAGATACCCGTTACTCAGCTAAAGAGACCAAAGGGAAATTTAGACATGCAAGCAGTAGAGCGAGATTGAAAGCGCCACCTATGGACGTTAGAGTGGCCGTGGCAATCGAACTTTTTTTGGCGTCAATCGATAGGTATTGATGAGACTAATACATTTCAGTTAAAATTTTTTATCCAGCATACAAATTATGGGCACCACAGATTTCGGCGGCTTGTGGGCGTTAAAGAGGGCGTGGCATCTTCGCGTAACAAACTTGCACTGCGTACTAGACTACAAAATCTAAATCTGAAATCCCAGTTCCTTGTCTTCTATAGTTTCTGAGATATCCGCGTTCATATTTACGATTTGCTGAAGTTTGTGGATGGATTGTGGGCGTAAGAGTTGGCGTGGCACATTGCTGAAACAAACTTCCGATGCGTAAGAAGCTCAGGAATCTGCATGCCAAATCTCAATTTATAAAATTTACATGATCATATACTACTCGGAACACGAAAGTTTAGTATAGTGAAAAGTGCCACTAGTTTTATTTTAAAATAGGACTTTACAGTTTGAGAAGTTGACTTGGCGGGTGAATGTACTGTCGAATTGGCACGGCTGGCACTGCAGAATGTGTTGACTGCTTTGCGGGTGAAGGTACTGTAGAGTCGAGTCATGCGTTGACACTAAATATAAAATGCTGATCAGAACTTCTCAACTGCAGTGGGTGCAACTGGGCGCCTGGTACTATTTCCAACTTGGCTATTGCGTAATTTGTTGGGTGCCGGTTTTGTTAGCTAACATTGGTTCAGAAAATCATAGTAGTAAAGACTTAGAAGCTATATTCTTAGAAATATAACAAGCCGTTAAAGGCAGTAGACTTTCGAACAGTGGCACCGTGCAAGCATTATTGGAGTGTCTTCAGAAATCTCACTCATGACCAACTTGTAAGACATAATGTGACCACCACCGCCACCATCTCCGAGTAACAAATTACAAGCAGATATCTCAGCCGCAGAGCAAATTCATAACTCTGGCGATCAACAGTTCACTAGGCCCGCAGGCACTAGGGGAGAAAGGGGTTGCGGAAACGGTCAACGAAAAGAGATTACTAGTGTGGTACGTTCTGACCTCCGTCCAGGGGAACAGTACAAAATAAAATTCCTAGACCAGGTTCATGGGAAATATAGACTTACCAGTACAGGCGAACAAACGAACGTCTAATTCATATGGAGCTAAAGGGAACGGTAACCGTCACCAGGTTAGCGGTGTAAGCAACAGGTCGAACGTTGCAGTCCACCAGGTTAAAGTTCCAGTATCCAGAGCGGGCGGATCTGGTTTGAAGCCGCTCGAGATGGTCTACAGACCTGAAAATTCCTCTATCGAATTTTGTCTTAAGCGCTTCCGAATCTGAACGCAGATCAGAACATTTTAAGTAATCATCTGGCCACTGAATGGTATTGGAAGTTTCATAGGGCGAATTCCAACTTCACCCGGTCAAAGTTTTGCGAAGAGTTTCTTGAGAAATTTGACGACATTGACACGGACATGGTTATCTGGGAATTGATTAATAGTATATAATTTAGCTAAAGGGACCAAAGGGAGATGGAGATATGCGAGCAGCAAAGCGAGATTGGACCACCTACCCTACTCAATATATGGTTATGTGGGCGGAAGAAAGATTTAAGCGTTATGGGCGTTAGAGTGGGCGAGACAAACTTTTTTTTGAGTCAATCGATAGGTATTGTCGAGACTAGTAGTTTGTTTCTAGCATGAAAATTGTGGGTGCCACAGGCCTTGGCGGTTTGTGGGCATTAGGGTGGGCGCGGCAAACTTTTTTGGATCAATCGATAGGTTTGACGAGACTAACACATTTCTGTTAAATTTTTTGCTAGTATAAAAATTGTGGGCGCCACTGGTTTGGGCGGTTAGTGGGCGTTAGTGTTTGCTTGGCATATTCGCGTAACAAATTTGCGCTGCGTACAAGGCAACGGAATCTAAATCGGAAATCTTAATTCTCTAAATTTGATAGTTTCCGAGATATCAGCGTTCATTTTTTGAAGATTGTGGGCACGTTTGTGGTAGTGGCAAACTTTTTTAGGTCAATCGGTAGGTATTGATGAGAAAAATACATTTCAGTTAAAATTTGTATTCTAGCAACAAAACTGTAGAGGCCACAGTTTTGTGCGGCTTGTGGGCCTTAGAGTGGGCGTGCGCTGCGCGAAGAGCTCAGGAATCTACATGCCAAATTGCAACTTTCTAGCTTTTGTAGTTTTCGAGATCTCAGCGTTCATACGGACGGACAGACAGACGGACATGGCTAGATCGGTACGGCTAGTGATCCGGATCAAGAATATATGTATTTTAAGGGGTCTAGTATACTCTTTTACTCTACGAGTAGCGGGTATAAAAATGCACTGGCCAATATTATAATATATACATAATATGTTGGAATCGAAAAGTAATAATAATTATCATTAAAGAGCGTATTTGCAAACAGTATTAAACTATGGGAGTGATGCCACCGATAGTCACTTGGCCTCCCAACATTTTTTTTCAAACTTTGGAAGAATTATAGCAGGGAAATATGTTTAGCCGGACACGAATTAAACCATTTGCATTATTTGATCTCATATCAAATTATAAATAGTTGTTGAACCCGGATAAATAATTAAATTGGTCTTAGTGGCCATCGGCCAGGGCAAGAACTTTATTCATTGACTTTCAAAGTTAGAGTGTCCTACAACTACCTATTCGCGGAAGCGCTGCCTGCAAGCATTGGCATACATGCATGGGTTGTATTTGAGTGCACTCAGGGCATGAGAATATGCTGACACTAGCACTTCCCATAAGTTGGGCTCTGAGGCGCGATTATATTTCGGTTGGCCGCACAAGTTTAACGGCCGGGTCAGTCAGCCTGTAGTCATCCAGCCTATAGTGCTGCATTTGCATAAGATGTTGCAATGCAACCATTATAATTTTAGTTAGAGAGTAGATACTATAAGCGGGCAGGGCACTTTTTTCGACGGTTTTAGGTGTAGACTGAAAATGGAACTAATGACGATCACCGCCGATACCGTGATTAGTATACCACATCACTAAAAAAAAGTTTGGTGTCAATGGAAAGCATTTCTTTCCAATGGTATATTTTCACTGCTGTGAAAATAAACTGCACATTTTGAACTAAACTTTCAAAATGCAAACATGGAAGAACGCTATAGTCGCGTACCTCGACTATCAGATATCCGTTACTCAGCTAAGGGGATCAAAGGGAAATGGAGATATGCAAGCAGCAAAGCGAGATTAAAATACATCACCTACCGGCGGTAGACAAATGTAAGCGTTATGGGCGTTAGAGTGGGCGTGGCAAACTTTTTTTTAGATCAATCAATAGTTATAAACGAGACCAATACATTTCAGTTAAAATTTTTTATCTAACATGAAAACTGTTGGCGTCACAGGCTTGGGCGATTTGTGGGAGTTACAGTGGGCGTGGCAAACTTTTTTTGGGTCAATCGATAGGTATTGATGACAACAATACATTTCAGTTGAAATTTTTATTCTAGCATCAAAACTGTAGGAGCCACAGTTTTGGGCGGCTTGTGGGCGTAAGAGTGGGCGTGGAACATTGCTGAAACAAACTTGCGCTGCGTAAGAAGCTCAGGAATCTGCACGCCAAATCTCAAAAGCCTAGCTCTTATAGTTTTCGAGATCTCAGCGTTCATCCGGACAGACTGACAGACGGACATGGCTAGATCGACTCGGCTAGTGATCCTAATCAAGAATATATATACTTTATGGGGTCGGAATCGCTTCCTTCTGCCTGTTACATACTTTCCGTCGAATCTGGTATATCATTTTACTGTACGAGTAACGGTTATAAACATCACATATACACGTTTATACGACAAGTCTTAATCTATCCTCAAGGAATCAACGACAGCTTCATTGGGCCCAACGAATGCTACGATGGATTTTCCTGTATGAGTGTATGTTGTGTGTTAAATCTTACACTGAATCAAATTAAATTTTAGTGAATATGTTTATAACTCAGCGATCGTCGGTGCAGTTCCCTTGTTAGCTACACCTGTTGTAAAATATAATAGACTTATACAAACACCTAATATAGTTAACCTCAATAGTGGCCACTTAGTATTTGAAATAATTTGAAGTTTAAACCATTATGAATAACTTATAAGAAAAGAAAACCATTCCGCGTTGTTTATTTGAAGAGTATGCTAGAGCGTATCGAGCTAAATTTGTTAAATAAATGAAGAGTATTCTGTCTATACCGCAACGAAATGATAGTTCCTTATAGTTCCATTTGTTTAATGGATCATAACGTGAACAACAGATCGCGAAAGGGGTATTAAAAAGAAAAGAAATTAGATAACCAAATGTAAAAGTTACCACGGAAGAGTGGGTTCAGAATGGGGGCAAAACAACATCTAAGTCTCTTTAGTCCTAGTCCAACTCTCGTTTGACTGTCTGCTCTTCTTTTGTAGCTGTAACTTAACAGTGGGTATAGCCAATTACAATGTCGTTATGTACATTATGTTTTGTTACAGATAGTCCACCTATTTTCTGGGTTAATGTTGATGTATAGCTGAACTTGTAGTCCGGAAACACGGCTGTCCGAACCCAGCATACACCCTGCTGCCGCATCCAAATAAGTAGGTATACATCGCGCTACCCAAACTGAGTCGGTTTTTAACGACCGACCAGAAAGCACTACCGAGCACTTGCCATTCTAGGACCGACTTGCTCGATACACGTAAGCGAGGAACCGTATATTTGGGGATTTGCACAGCTATGGCTATAACGGTAGAACTCGAAGATCATCGACACGAGCCAGAATTCTTTGGAAGCGAGACGCAAAAGACTAATTTCACCCATATTTATTTGCCATACTTATCAGATTCAGGTGCTACAGTGACTTGTATTGGCAGCGACGCGGCGACTGCATTTAATAACCACCCTCAAAAGCTTAACTGTTCAGGGTACATATGAACAGCAAATAATTCAGAGTGTTACAGGACGAATCGTCATGAAGATCAAGTATCGTGAACAGACGAACCTAATAGAGTTCTTCATCACCTTTATCTAAAACAGGATGTTTATTTAGGTACAGATTGTTGGATGAAGTTTGGGGTAGTCGACAAAATCACGGATGACTAGGAATCAGTTACAGTTAGATGTAGGTCACGAAGAGTGTCATGACTCAACCAAGAACCAATCAAGAAAGAAGGCTTAGGGCGTCCCCTTTTGATAGATCCCCATATAGATGTGCAATTCTTCTCCGGTTTCGCCGGAGAAAGAAAGGGTTATGTTTTCCGAAATCGAGAACATGTTGGCAATGGATGTTAGCGAAGAGTGTAGGAGTCCATGGAGTAGTAAATGAGTTCTTGTCTAGCGAGGAGAAAAAACTGGCTTTATACCTTCCTTAGGTGTATGGAATCCTTAGCAGGCTGCCTCCAGCTCG